TCAAAATTCAGCCTGCTGATCAATGACGATTATAAAATTCTTGCAGCCCTGTTACAGGTTATCAGTGAGGTGTTGATAACCGCTTCTTCCTCTTCATAAAGGCATTCTTGACTAATAGCAACTCATTATGTTACAATTTAGCGAAAAATGACGCTTACGAACCGTAGAACGCGTATTTAAAGCAATCCTGATTTGCATGTTCACAGAGGCACTACTTGTGCGAAATTCGAATAGACATCACTTTTAGTTTTTTTTTTTCGTCAGTGTAATGCAATATTTCTTAAGAAATGTAAAATTATACTTTTTATATGTATATATAATAATTCTTACCTTAATGTCTCGCTGGTTGATAAGAACCATTGGATGAAAGGATGATTTTTTCTAAGGGTATGAATGAATTTTTCTTTTCCATTAAACCATCCGCAATTATTTGGAATAGTTTTTCCGTAGATCTTCCCGTCATCCGGAAATGACTTTTGTAATCGTCATCTGAATACAAAGGTACTATTTTAAAAACATAATTTGGGATTCTGACCTTTCTTAATTAATTTTTCTTCACTTGTTTGAAGTAGCATTATTTTAAGAATATCATCATTCTCATTATCTAATATTGAGGGATTCAACAATACTGCTTTTACCATTTTAGTATTAACAAATCAAACAAATTTGTTCTAAAGTAAAATAGGAAAAGGCAAACGATTTCGAAAAATACACTGTTAAAAATACCCGTTGTTTTTACGGAATTTCTCCGTATTGTTAACGGTTTAAATCCGTTCTGCATAAATAACGATTCTTCACCCTAATCGCAAACGGATAAAAACCGTCAATTGGAATCCCAGTTTTTGCCATGCTGTTTTTCGTTCCTTAGTATGACTTGGTCTTTTATCAATTTATTTTAGGATTATTTCTATACTGGTTCTTACTTTTCAGAAATTATTTGAAGGTTTTGAACATCTGTTCTAGTAAAATTATATATATATATATNGTCTCTCTCTCTCTCTATATATATATATATATATATTTATATATATATATTTGACATTGTTGATATCCACTTGCCTTACAAGAGCTTTGTTAAATAATGTATTATTTTTGGGGAATTTTTAAAGGATGAATTGAGTTAAACTAATACCGAGAGGATCGACGAATATTTTAAAAATTATAATGATTTTGTGTACAAAAAGTACGATTTTGTACTTATACCTCTTTACGTAACTGACATCGTTGTCTTACCAAATAAAATATTGTTCCTCATGTAATGTATGATATGTGTGAGTCAATAGAATGATTAATTCAAAATTATAAGAGCTTTTATGTATGAAAAGTACTTTTTTTTGGAATGTACAAATGTTCAGCTTTTCCAATGCTATCTTAGAGCTGTCTGAAAATATAAATTATGTTTCCTGAGGTGATTTTTTATGCTGAATTAATGAGATAAAATAAAACAGCGGACGAAAAGAGTTAGGAAAATATTTGAGTATATCAATTACAAAAAATACAACTTGGTACTTACATCCATTTACAATTTCAGACGCGTTAGATATGTACTAAAAGAAAATTGTACTTTTAATTCATAAAACTTATAACTTCCTAACTGTTATTATGATTTTCTTTTCATTCAATCTAGCTTAAAAAACTACGTCGAAAATACTGCTTCACTTATTTATCTAGAGGGGAAGAAATTCTTTGCCTCGAATTATTCCGATTTTCTACAGGGAGGGAGCTTACAGAAGACAATAGGTTATGTTTATAACTTCATCTTATACTGAGATAACAAAGCATTCTGTCAGAAATTACCTTGGGTATTAGCTTTTAATATTTAACATCCCTTTTTTTGTCCTAATTACGTAATAATTAATACATTAAGCCATTACCATTTGAAGAAATAACTAAACAGATAAGTAGTTCAAAATCATTAATTTCCGAAGTTATTCCTATGGTTGTAACTTTACAACGATATTTGTTAAAATCTGTTGAAGTTTCTGGAATTGGAACAATGAAAGCAGCATTAGAAAAAAATATACATAAACGTTTTTCGACAATACAGTTGAACAAACATTATTCACTGGCAACGATTTTGGACCCATGATATAAAACACTGTTTTTTGATAAAGATCAGAGTTATGACGAAGTTGTGAAATCTTTATTACTTTCATTAATGAAGGAAAAAGCATCTGAAATTTTTAAATCGTCAGAAAATGTGAACAATAGTAAGTCAATCGCAAAATATTCAAATTCTGAAAATTCTCATAAGTCAACTGAAGGTGAGGAATGTGTATCTATTTCTGTTTGGGATGTTTTCTCAGAAATAACTAACAACAGTAATATAAATAATAAAATTACTGATACTGACAAAAATGAGTTAACTTCAGTGCAGGAGTTGAATAAATATATTTCATTACCAGTTATTGAAAGGAGAGAATCACCACTATAAAGTCTAAAAATATAAAAAAGATAATTGGTTTGCAAAAGCATGAATAAAAGTAAAATTATTAAAAACTAACGGGCTGGCAAAATAATAAATAAAATAAACACATAAAAAGATATATTTAAATAATAAGAGCAGACGATAAAATTAGAACACCAGAAAGTTGTTGATTTGTTAGAATTAGTTTTGTGTGGAATTTGAGTTTTTATATATCCCGTTACGGGCACTTTATCTAGTTGTTTTATAATATTTTATCTATCATGCTACGGGTGAGTTTCCTTATATCCCATTATGGGTTTTTCTTGCTGTTTTATGATCTCTTCACTATCCCGTTACGGGTAATTTATATTTGTTACTGTTTGTAAATAAAAGTTTTTTTTATAAAAAAAACTGAACTGTTCTTCAACATAGCTTGATACGCTACACCACTCAACTGGTGGGGAAAAAAATCAAAATAATTTTCCCATATTATCAAAATTAGTCTATAAATATCTATCTCCTCCTACAAAGCAGTGTTTATAGTGAGACTATTGTCAAGTTTACTAGTTGTACTGGTAATTATTTTCTTCAAAAAATTGCCTCTGAAAATTGTATATTTGCACAATGTCACACTAGAAAAAAAAACTCCTGCAAGTTAAAAATATTGAAACTACTGATAAAAAACATGTATTAAATTCCATCTGAATGTCTTTAAAGAGAAAAAAATTGGTATAACGATGAAACATTTCAATATTCAGAGGATTTTTTTACAAATGTGGTAGTAAGTGAAAACTCATGTCCCAAAAGAGTCACATCCGTCACAAGATGTAAACTTTTTTTTAAAGAAAATTGAAAATTCTTGCAGTTTAATTTGAACTAAATTATTCAAGCAAATGTAACGTTAAATATAATTAAAAACTTTGTTGGTAATTATTAACAATTTATTTTCCTGAAATGCAGTTTTAACGTCAAAAAACTGCGTCTGAATGTCACAATGGAATGGCCCATCACTGGGCAAATGTTTTATGGCAAGATTTAAATGTTTCTAATTTTATGATTTGTTTTAAAATAAGTAATTGTTCTAAAAAGAATTATCTGTGATTTTTAGCATGGAAATAATACATGATAAAATTAAAAAGGTATTGCCCTGCATGGAATGCAGTATTCTGGATACCCTAAAGAAATTGCTTGTTGATATCAGCTTAACAGTGGAAGAAGAATTAAAATATGTGGCAGAAGCAGACTCAACACCAGAAAACTTATTGCTGCCTGGAAGCAATCAGGTATGTGTTAGTATTTTTAATTACTCACGAACAGGGCCGAATTCAAATTACTAACCAAATATCAAAAGTATTGGTTCAATCTCAAAATTTTTAGCTGAAGGCAAATCTTCATTTTTATAATTTTTGTTTCTCCTTAAAAGACTTTAAATCAAATTATAAATTTACTGTAAATTGAACTATTTTATAGAATTAAAATTCGAATCAATCATTTTACAGTTGAAAAGGAATGAATGATATATGAATGCGAGAGAAGATGTGAAAATGTAGGTGCTTTATTTTCTTCAGGCAAAGCAATAACAATAGTTTTGGGGTTAATTTTCAATAGCTTATTAGACTTGAATAGTAATGAAGGAAAAAACCTGAAACGGATTTTGATGTTTTTTTATTTTTTTAAATTTGAACTATCTTAATTATTTTTTAATAAAATGACTTTTTACTGTTGGGATTGCAATCATTTAGTGTCATATAGTATTCGTGTGAGAAGAGAAGTAGGTTGAGTACATTTTAGTAAACAATATGTTAAGTCATGGAAAAAGAACATATTTTCTTCAAAAATAGTTTGATGGTATGCATCTATCTATTATTTAATCAGCTTTATTGACACAAACCATCGAATTTTTTTTTTTGTTGTAATCTACCGTGTTATCAAGCAACAAAGCTTCATTTTTGACGAAACAATTTGATCGAATGTAGGGTTTAGTGGCACAAAGTCCAAATGAGGACATGCTGCTCCAGACAATACGGTAAAATTGTTCTACAGCCTAAGTACATACAAAATTTAATTGCAGCACAATTATAACTGATAAAACAGTGAATAAAACAAGATAAATGCTATGAAAATTAGATAAAAGGTATGAGTAAAATCAGATAAAAGTTTGACTACAGTATAAAACGTACGAATTGAGTAAAATGTACAAAATAGTAAGATATTTGCAAAAGCGTTTAAAATTGTAGATGTGTTAAAACTTTTATATGCTGTTAAAAATACCTACGGCACGTAAAAATGCATAAATGTTAGAATGGTGAGTATCATCCAACAAATCTTGCAAGCATAAAATAGTACTCCCAAAAAGCTTTAAGCGTAGTTGATTAAAACATGGACACGTTATTAAAATATGATGAACTGTGAGAGGAACGTAACAGGTACTGCATTCGGGGGGAAGCTCTCCAAACAGTAGATGGAGGTGTGTTAACCGGGTGTGACCGATTCGGAGTCTGGTCAGCTTTACATCAGCACTACGCAAGCGCAGCACTGGCAAATTATCTAAATCGAATTTAATGCTATGCAATTTATTGAGAACTTTCAGGTCTCATTGCTGTTGCCATAATGATGTTACCAACTTTCGAGTATGTAGCTTCATGTCAGAAAAAGGTATGGACACTTTCAAAACAGATGTGGCAGATCGTGCAGCTGTGTCAGCTAGTTCGTTCCCTAGAATACCAACATGACTTGGTACCCAGCAAAATAGAATCTCAAAGCCATTCTTTTGAAGAGTGATTAACAAATGAATGATGAAACATAAAATTGGATGAGTATCACAGTGAAACTTTTCTAGTTGGCTCAAAACGCTCATACTATCGGAGTATAGGCAATACTTCCGAGTAGGCCGTGAGGAAATTAGACGTAGTGCCATAAGGATAGCCACAGCTTCAGCAGTGAAGACGGAGCAAATATCTGGGATTTTATAGCTAAATGTATCGTCAGCGATGATGACCCCGCATCCTACATATCCGGCAGATTTTAAACCGTCTGTATAAATCGGTATATATTGAGAATATTGGTGACGATGTGCAGTGAAAAGTGTATGAAAAATGCAGGGTGTAACGTTGGCTTTATCGTGTAACTTGAAAAGGGAAATAGATTGGTATGGTGAAATGGTCCATGGTGGTATGAGAAAATGATCCACTGATTGTGATGGTAAGTCACAGATATCGAATGATTGGATAAGTGAGCGTGTGCGAGCATGAAGTGGGCGAATGTGTGATAGTCTAGCAATATAAAGTCGCTCCAAGCATGATGGAATAACATCATGCCTTAAAGGATGCGATTTAGAGGACATAATACTAAAGTAATATGTAAGAGACAGCTGGATGCGACGTAGATATAATGGTATCTGGTGGCAAACAACATATAAGCTTTCAACCGGGGAAGTTCGAAATGCTCCAGAACATATGCGTAAAGCAGTATGATGTACTGTGTCCAAGATTCGTAAGTTAGAGGTGGTTGCAGTACCATAAACTACGCATGCATAATCAAGCCGTGAAAGTATCAGGGCCTGATTAATGCGTGAAAGTGCTAGGCGATCCGCTCCCCATTTTGAGAGAACACGCAACATATTCAGTTTTTGCTCGCATCGCTTTCGTAATTGTTTGATATGAGGGATAAAAGTTAACTTGCTATCAAAAGTGACTCAAATTTTGCGTGTGGTACAACTGGTATAGCAATGTTATGAATGAAAATGACAGGATCATTATGAAGTGCGCGTTTCCGACAGAAATGAATGCATGAACTTTTAGAAGGTGAAAGGGTATGGCCATTATGATCACACCAGTCTAAAATTTTATTCACTGCTAACTGAAGTTGTCGCTCGATGACTCTCATGTCGGATCCTGAACTTTGACGAAACAAAAGTTTCTCTCTGAAAAACTTTTTGACAGCATTTACTATTATTATTATTTTTTTTAAAGATAATCTTTTCTCTTACCAGGGAGAAAAGAAACGCTCGTGATTTTCAATTTATCTTTAACCTTGATTGGAATTTTCTCAAAGAGCCACTGATTTTAATTTCTCTCCTAAGGAACAAATTGTTTAATTAATTAATTAATTCTGTAGGACTGTCTTTAGCTAAAATTTAAAATTCATTAAATAAAAAGTACTTCTAGCATTACAAAAATTACATTATACATTTTTATTACCAAAATTACAAAATACATTTTTTTATAGATGTGTTGCCAACAGTGCCTATTTCAAAAGTGTCGCCTGAGAAGGTCAACACTATTTCTGACACAACCACAGAAGAAGCTACTTCAACGTCAGCCACGTCAACGACTGCAAAGAATGGTGCTCTAGATTGGGCTGAAGAATATTCTATTCCGTGGCAGAAAATGTCTGTGGAGTGGACAAAAGATTTAAAGGAAGGCAGGCGGCCATCTCCAGCCAACCGAAAAGAATTTGTAAACAAAATTGCGCAGAGCATCTTCAAAATTTTCGCTAAACCAGGCAAAAAAAATTTGAGCAAAATTGCTCGCGAAGCCATAGAGGCTTATCCAAAGTCATTTTCTGACATTTGGTGTGATGAAGTTGTGGCTGGGGGGGTATGAGTCTCTTACTAGTACACTGGTTATTAAGTTTGAGAACCTCAATCGAAGAGACAGTTCCAGTTTACAAAAACGAAACTTGAAAAGAGAGAGGGGTGAAAACCAAAGCACAAGTGTTGAACTCAGTACTTCAGCCAATTATGGCTGTTTGAATAGGCAGCCAAATGTTCTGCCTATTGGTGAAAGCCCTGAAACCCAGAAGGAGATGTTGGCGATATCGTCGACAATGAAATCATGTGAGGATGCCGATAAGAGAAGCCTTGCCTTATTAGAGGCTACTTTCCATAGCCAGAGGAAAGATATCAACAGTCTAAATAAACTGCTGTTTGTAGAAAATGCAACACCATGAAGGAATCATCAGAATCAAATGAAATATTATTTTAATAATGGATATAGGATATTATGCAAATTAATAAAGTTTCAGAGCCATCGCGCGTGCGTGGCGCGCGCAGCGCCCTCTGAATTGATGCTGAAAGCGTATAAATAAAGTGCTGTAGCGGGACGTTGAAAATAGTCTATGATTATTTGTTAGTGGCAAACGTTTAGTGAGACCTGAGTATGCCTCCACGACGGAAGAATAAGAAATTCAAGCAACTTACGGAGTTTGAACGAGGGAGGATAATCGGCCTTCGAGAAGGAGGATTTTCCTATCGCGCAATAGCAGCTCGTATGCAGCGGAACAGTTCCACAGTGATGCGAGTTTGGAAGCAGTGGACCGACGAGCACCGAACAACTCGAAAAACAGGCACTGGACGACAGAAGGTGACGTCAGAGCGCGATGATCGACACCTGCTCCGCATGGCGGTGAATGATCGCACAGCTTCCTCCAGGCAGCTGGCAGCACATTGGTCTACTGCTACAGGTGTACAATTGTCGGCTTCGTCAATTCGTCGTCGTCTGCTGCGCCGTGGATTGCGTGCAAGGGTGCCATTATACAGGATTCCCCTCACGGCGGATCATCGACGGCTGCGTCGGCAGTGGGCTCTTGAGCACAGAGACTGGCGAGCTGATTGGCACCAAGTTGTCTTTTCAGATGAATCACGCTTCAATTTGTGGACCCATGATGGCCGTGTTCGTGTTAGACGTTATGCCGGTCAACGCTGCCTTCCTGAGTGTATTATTGAACGACATAGTGGTCGAACACCCGGAGTTATGGTCTGGGGTGCGATTTCGTATCATGGACGATCCAATTTGATACGAATTGAGGGTAATCTCAATAGCAACAGATACGTCCGTGAAGTGCTACAGCCCGAAGTCGTTCCTTTCCTTCAAGGCATCCCTGGAGCTATCTTTCAGCAGGATAATGCACGCCCACATGTTGCGCGGACTGTTAGAGACTTCTGTTCAGCACAACGCATGCAACTTCTTCCTTGGCCTGCTTATTCGCCGGATATGTCGCCTATTGAGCACGTGTGGGATATGGTTGGTCGGCGTCTCACTCGTGATCCGCGTCCTGCAGTTTCCAAAGACGAACTTTGGTTGCGCATACAAGCGATATGGAATTCTCTTCCTCAAGCAGATATTCAACATCTGTTTGACTCCATGCCACGTCGTATAGCAGCACTTATTGCAGCGCGTGGTGGCTGCACCAAATACTGATTTCGGACGCTTAATTTGTTTCTTTTGTTTTGAAAATTTCATCATTTATTTGTATCAGTACAAGTCGTTTCTGCATTAAATTTCATTTGATTCTGATGATTCTTTCATGGTGTTGCATTTTCTACAAACAGCAGTTTACTATTTCAGACTTGTTAAGTTCCTGGCCTCTTCTTTTTACAGAGAAAGGCTTCTTCCAACATTTAAATTCCGGAGCTCTTGAAAAAGGCTTCGGAAACTAAAATTCCTCGCATTATCAATTTTTTTAAGTCTTTGTCGAAAAAAAAACGCAATCCAATGTCTTGGATTGCGTTTTTTGGATAAGTCAGGATAAGTTTGATAACGATGAAACTGCTGATGAACTGTGCTCTGTCATATGTCTGCTTCTGGAGTACTTCAATGAAAAAAAAGAAGCAATTTTTATCTCAGTTGACGTACGTAAGTATTTACCATATATTTTTCTATAAAAATCTTTTTTTTATATAGCTTAGGCACGTTCTCTTAATTTCAGACATCTTCCTATAGTCAACTACATTAAGAAAATATTTGCAGTTATTCACCTACCTTTTCTTTTTATTTCCAAAGACAAGGCAATGCAAAAAAAAAAAAAAAAAAAAAAAAAAAAAAAAAAAAAGCGTAAAGGAAAAAATGTACGGAAAAAAAATTTTTAGAGCCCAAAAAATGACCGAAATCATTGCTACTATAAAAGTTCTTTCTCCAATAATGTCACTTCAGAGCGCTTGGAAGTGATGAGCAACTAGCGAGGTGAGCTCGATTCATAGGCTTCAATGAATCCAGCTAATACAGATTACAAATAGGGCAGTTTGGGTGATGAAAAATTACAATACAATAGAGATCTTCAAGACAGTCATTATTGACATAAGGCAGGATTTAGTAACCGCTTTCGACATGGAGAGTTGGGAACGGACAAAAAATCCTTAATTCTCCACTGCTTTGACTGCACACAGTCGAGTAACTGTATTTCAAATTTTGGTGACATAATTTGTTTAATATGAAGCTTAAGAAAATGGAAAGATATTTTTTAAAATCTTCATTGAGTATCTTGAGCTCTTCTCAGTTTCTCACGTAAAAGTAAGGTACAGTAGCTGTAATAGAGTAATTGTTTGTCAAATTGTTCGCAGCAGTAAGTGATTAGAGGTAGTATGAAGTTTCTAAGAAGTATTTACACTGACCATCACTTTCCCATAAAGATCCTGCCAGTGGTTTTAAAACAGCTACCTTATTTAAAAAATTGCTTAAGACTGCATCTACATGTGACTTCCAGAAATTACACTTTTAGCTTTTTTATATCTTTAAATTTGATTATTTTAACATTAATTGTAGGTTAGGTATCCAATTTATAAACTAGTAAATAAATAAAATTTAAGAAACGTAACCGAAATTGAAAACATTCTACGTTTAATTAAATTCAACTTCGTTGCAAGATAATGACGTTTTTTGTTAAAATAATCTTTTAATTATTACTTTTAAGTCTGAGTTCTAAGAATTCTCCATTTTTGATGGTACAAAGCAAGAATACGTTATAAAAATTATTGTATTTTTTGTATAAAAAAATAAAAATTTGAATGCGCATTAAATTCTTACTGCATTTAAAATTCTTCAATTAAAATATAGCCATTTGTTATTTTCAGAGCTCCTTACCTGCCAAAAATGTCAAAAATCTGGGCATATTGCCGAGTACTCCATGTTTGATTTCTTCTGGTAAGTATAATAAAATGTTTACCTGTAGTACGTCTAATTTTTAAAAAAATAACACTGAAATAAGTTTTAAAAAATTAAGTTAATAATTTAAAATTTGAACAATCAGATTCGAAATGAAACTAAGCTTTTAATTATATCTCAAATATTATAACATGCTTGTTGATAAGTGTGTTTAATTGTGATGAAATAATTATGTAAATCAGTTAAAATTATCTGATCTGCATTTTCTGTTCTAAAATGATAGAGCTTCATAAAATTCATAACTGCATGGCTGTTTCTTAATGAAGGCAAAATTTATGTAGTTTGACAAGAATGTATGTTGGTTAAATTTCACTGTCTCGAACTCAAAGCCATGTTTCAAGAAACACACAGAAAAAAGCAGACTTTCAATGACTCCCTATTACGCTTGCTAGTGTTTCTGAGAGGTCAGCGAACCTAGATAAGGTAGCAATCTACGACGCTATAGGTAGGGAGAGATTGTGACAGAGAGAGGGACGGTGACAGGAAGTAGTGACAGAGGAGTACTTTTGTAGATTTAACCAAAGTGGAATGCTGGTCAGTCAAGAAGGGAAGAAATTCAGAAACGAAAATTTTTTATTGTAAATGTTCATAAAAATTCTAGTAAAATTGAATTTTTCAAAAAAACGTGACGTGATAGAAATCTTTCATTATTATTTTCCATTTGAGTACTAAAAATACA